ACAAAGGAAAAAGTGGATAAAGCCAAACAAGAATCTTGAAGTAGGCGATTTAGTCATTATCCATGACCCAAAAACACCACCACTTCTCTGGCCTCTTGGTCGCATTGTGAAGACATCACCTGGAGCAGATGGCATCGTTCGAGTTGTCTCCATCAAGACTTCGAGAGGAATCTTCTGTCGCCCTGCTACCAAGGTGTACCCGCTCCCCTAATCACAAAATATTTCTATTCAATGTCCTATTTCATGTTTATTTATATTTATAATTATCATATTTATCATATCTTATAATTAGGTGTGTCATCATTATCTATTGTGTATATATATCTACATTGTATTACTTGTGCCCATTTATGAGTCAATGAATCAATTTATGAATCTGTTGAACCATGTATGGTTCAAGGCGGGCGGCATGTTCCGTATTCAAGCATCTACGCAACCTAGGTGAATCCAGACTTCATTCATATTTTGTTCTGACCCTTGCCCTGTCACGTGATGTCTGGCAATTCCCCCCATTCCTCATGTACTCTTCAACCCGGCATCATGTTCTCGCCATTTTCCCTAGTTTTGTATTATAATATTCCCCTACTCTATTTGTGGCATATAAATTGAACTTATATTATCGTATGTTTATCTTATGTATTTATTTGTGACACACCTAACAAAAAAGTGAACTGAATAGTTAAAAACTGTATTCAAACTGTTCTTGGTGCAACTACCGGTCGCGTACGCGAAAGCTGGCCAGCAAACATCAAGTGCGTCAACGGTCTACTAGACATCACTTCAGTAAAAAGGAAGGTACCAAATCACATTTCTTCCTATTTAAAAGTTTATTATTTTGTGCTCACAGTGTGTCTCTAAAGCTGATCTTAACATAATATATCTCACATCCCTCATTTTTTATACAGTCCACCATATCGAAGTTTACCCCCCACGTTTTGTCTATCACGATTGTGTTAGTGTACATTATACTGTCGATATGTCAAACTATTTACAATAAGGCAACAGTAAACTACAATTACCGGTACATACTTTTTTAGCATGCGATGTTTACAATCGAAATTTACAACTGAGTTGACAACAGCTGATTATTACTCCCTACAGAGTAAAAATGCCACATTAGACCCGCAACGCATACATTAAAAAAGGCTGTTTTTGCTGTAGTATGACAAAAATACTTATTTTTAATTATTTTAACTTAAGTATGTGGATAGCTATCTGGAACGATCTGAAATTGTTGTAAGCATAAAATTGTAATATTACTACAGGCATATTTTAACAGTTAGATTTTACACAGGTTGGACCCTCTTTTAATCTTGTATTTGCCTGTCCACATGGGCCTCAAATGCCAATGTGTGGAACGTATTAAGTGGAATAAAGGATGAGCTGGTACAGTAAAAAAACTTCTGTTTTAGGTTTTAACTTTTAGCTAATAACTAAGCTAGCAAGACACTCAAGGGTATAAACTTAATAAGTCACGATTTGGTTTGGAGTGGCATAATGCAGCAACATTTCTTTAGAATCAACCTGGACAAGCTTTGCATTTGATTTTAACATGAATTAGGGGTCTGCGGTGCACCGAAAAAGTCGGTACGGTACAAGCTTAATTACCATTTAAATTCATTGTTAAGCCCCTGAGCTGTGGATATTATTGTAAGATTATATTACTTACGTCAATCAGCTCATTGAATCGTGAGTTTCACCTCAGTACATGTTTCGACACATTGTCATCATCAGCTGAGTTAGTACTTGTGAAGGTTTTATTCACCAGATGGCTTCGTCATGTTGAATAAATTAACACGTAACATGTAACACGGATACGACACGACACATATACATTTATAACACGTAAAACTTGAAGACATGCAGGCCTGCTTGAACAAAACATACGGTCACGCCGCGGGTCGGGGACAGACTGACTATTTGTTTATCCAGGCTTATCATTGTTATCTCGGAAGCAGTGGACAGCTGTTTCTTTGGTAGGAATGATAGAGTTGAATATTGAGTTGGAGCTGAAATTTAGTTTTTTGTTTAGAACAACTTCCTTTCCTTTCCTACGGCGTGACCGTATGTTTTGTTCAAGCAGGCCTGCATGTCTTCAAGTTTTACGTGTTATAAATGTATATGTGTCGTGTCGTATCCGTGTTACATGTTACGTGTTAATTTATTCAACATGACGAAGCCATCTGGTGAATAAAACCTTCACAAGTACTAACTCAGCTGATGATGACAATGTGTCGAAACATGTACTGAGGTGAAACTCACGATTCAATGAGCTGATTGACGTAAGTAATATAATCTTACATTAATTACCATCATCGGTGGTACAAAATCGGTTTGGTACAACCTATAATAAAAATAAACTACTTTCAGTTTACCATCGTAGTCAACGGTTCCGAGCACATAAAATGCTTATCAGATGTTTGTTTACGATCTTTATCTTTATAATTTATTACTAGGGTAGTGATGCAATAAATAAAAAAGCAATAAGCAGTCCCAAATCCATTAATATTTTATCAATTGTTGTATTTAAGTACTTCCAAGAACTCTTGAGTTTGATCACTCCAATCCTGTACAAATTTAATTTATTACTTGCGTAATAATTATTTTTATATCCCAATTCTATTTCATCATCAAAATAATAGTATTTATAATAGCTGTTAAATTTAATCTCCAACTCTAGTCACTATTTCAAATTTTACAACAGTAAAATTAATTTTTACTAATAAAAAATTTACAAGACACAAAGTACCGTGAATTACTTTATTTGAAAATAATCTGTAACAGTTATGTTTTTGAATAAAGAAATATGTATTTTTGTCCACTACTTCCTTGTTTTGTTACACAATTTTGTTAGCAATTGGAGCAAACGGGTGGTGCAAGAGGGGAGGGAGAGGGTCTATGACCTTGAATGCCCCCTCGCCTGGATGGTGAGAGTGATTTATGGTTTGTTTACATCCCGCTGCCCTTCCTCCCAAGAAAAAGACCCTGCAGTTTCAAAAACATTGACTTACAGTTTAAAAACATTGACTTGTGTTGCTAATTAGGGCACTAGTGTCTCTGCATTATGTTGCCAAGTTGGCATTTAATTTTCTTTTCTATTGATTTAATATAATCTTCTATATATTAATTAGTTAAGAGTTCCTTTTAGGGTACCTAATTAATTGTGATATAAACAATATCTGGACTTGAGTTTATGGATTTTTAGTTCTTTTAATTTATTAGTTACTAGCTGTAACCCGCGGGCTTTGCCTCGTATGCTACTGTATGACCTGATATGCAATTTTTACAGTCCTTACTAATTATACCGTACAAAAATGTGTGTGTCAAATACTATTTTAGAGTTTTATAGTAAATCAGTTTACACAACATCTTTTCTTCAATGAGTTCTCGACTTGTCATGTTGCTTAGCCTATTACTATTTTAGGCCCTATAAACATAATTTTTATGTAAATCTATAGACCTACTAATGCCAATAATAGATTTATGTAGCCTATTTATGATGCTGTAACTAATAATGCTTATTGCAAGTGTGAGGTTTTGTTCTTAAGAGGTTAGGAGGGAGGGAATGAATAATACATATTGCATTGTGGAAACATAGAATTTTTATTTTCTTCTTTCTTCTTGTAGTTTTTAAGCCAGTCAACAAGCCCTAAAATTGTGATATGTATGTTAATTGATTTGTTTATAATCTTTTTATATTAAGTTCCATTCAAAACTTGTTGTTTGATTGAACTATTTTTAGTTATTACAACCAAAAAATCATTAATAAACAATTTTTGGCTTGATCCATAACCCGACCAAAAAAAGTCTGACCCTCAGACCCCAATTATCAAGGCAAGTACCGGTACTTAACACGTCCGCTACTGAGCGTCGCATATATGCGACGCCGCGGTCATTGCCACAGACCGAGGTATACATTTGAATCTTACACACAGACCGGCTGTCACTTGGATAACAGTACACACAGACCACGGGCGAAAACCTGTAAAACAGTGATCATTTACATTGTAATACGCTACAATCGTGTTTGTATATAAATTATTCTTGTTTTTTGTATTTTTTATAACCTTTAGTAATGTCGCATATTTGCGACGCCCGGTCTACAGCGAAGACAATAGTGAAAATTATCATAGTTTTCTTGAAATAGACTAAGCGTCGCATATATGCGACAGTTCATTTTTTTGCGTTTTAAGGTGAAAGTAAGTAAAAAAATAAACAGATTATTCAAGAACAGTTTATAACTGAACAAATATAAAAGCTACATAGGATAATGCAGCATACGTACTGCATACATACATACAGTGATGCAGAAAAGTAAAAGCCAGTTTTTCCAACTGTTATATGACGTCACCAATCATCATATCCACAGACCAAGCGACGCAGTTGTGCGTCAGACATCTCTGTAGATCACTGCAGGGAATTCAGTGCCTTCAAATAGACCACTACAAAGATATAAGCATTTTAATAACATTAGAACCCCGACGCAAATATGCGTCGGCAGTCTATTTTAATGTGACTAGCCGTCGCATATATGCGACGGCAGTCTATGGGTGGAAACCGGCCGTCGCATATGTGCGTCGCTGGTCCATGTGAATGGAAAATTTCGTACTATTGCAGTAGCGAACGTGTTAACTTAGTAGTAAAATAGGTGAAGCCTTTATCTTATCTTTGTTGATTTCTTGACACAACCCTGTTAGAAGTAAAAGGTTTTAATAACGTGAGGGACAGTAATTAATTGTTGTTAGAAAATCATTATTTAGAATACTATCCATTTTCATAGTAATGTCTTTGAAATTTAAAATAATGGTTTCAATCTGAGGGGTACACCGCAAAATTACTGATAGCCGCGTACCGTACCGATTTTGTACTGAGAACCGAGGTATATATTGTACCGTAATATTGTACCGTACTGACCTTAAATTTTCTGTACCGCAGACCCCTAACATGAATAAATGAGATTTGTATTTGATTTGATAACATATTTGTATACAGCAACTTACAGGGTTTTCTGTGTCGGGTGTGTACATAAAGTTGAAGAACAGCGGTGCTCTGGCATGCTGCTTCTCTATGTAGTCAAACACTGACTGTCCTAGATTGGACCCGATGTGTGTCCCGGCTAATCTACCACCTGTAACATCAACATTAACATGCTATACATAACTGACTACTGGTTCGGATCTATTTTTTTTTTTTTTACAGTTTCACATCTTTTAAAAATTGAAAAATCTCATAAAGACATTTTATTTTCAAAAAAGTTCTGGTTTAACAAAATGTATTGAGAACTACTTAATCAATCTGTATTTATATAGTCTAATCCAACTGCTGTAAATCTGAGCTAGTTTTGTTATTATTTTGGCTAAATTTTGTTTACAAGTTTTCATGTATGTGATGGACCGGATTTAGCAGATTGGCCCAATAAAAATCTAGTGGATGGGCGCACTAAAATGATTTATTCAGGTAAAATGGTTATTTTGAAGAAATTAAGTGACATCCACTAGAGTGTAAATCAGTAAACTCTGTAGCCTAGACTGCTAGGTCTACTAAAATAATAAACAAATAATTAAAATATACACAAAACAAATGATTGAAATTATTGCCTTTGGCAGTGTTGTGGCACCACATTAGCCCTCTGCAGAGTCTGAAAAACCAGCCACTTTCAATTTCACAGAACGACCAGATCGGGTCACATAAGGCTAGGGTGGAAGGGTTGGTGGGAACACTATGGAGGGTGTATTTGAATTGGTTTAGGCAATTGTTCCTGGGAAGTAGGTGCTAGGTGCTTGCTTATCAGCAACTGGTGTGGGTGGTTTAGGCTGGGAAGCCACTGGTTTGGGTGCCTGTTGATGGGAATTAGCTGGTTTGAATGGCTGTTGCTGTTTTTGACAATGCAGTTCCTGTGGTTGACTTGACCAATGTTGTAACAATAGTTGATGCGCAACGTTAAAAAATAGTTTAACTATACAAACCATTTTTTGTCCCAATAAACATCTAAATTATAAGTTTTAACTCTGCAAGCCTGATTTTTTAAATCAATATGCAAAATATGTTAAGTTATGCTTTTTTAATTATTAAAAAGTTAGCTAGCGTATTTAGATTTCTAAATCTTTAAAAAATACTTTTCCCCTAGTCTTGCACCCTCAGGGAGCTTGCATCCATAAGGCTAGGCCTACCGGGCCTGTTGGGAAATCCGGCTGTGTGTGTGTGTGTGTGTGTCAATGTTTTCCACTCAACTACTTTGGAATGAAGGAAAATTAGTTCAGCTAGATATTAATGTAACTCAAAACCAATATCCTATCCACGATTTTCGGATCACTTGGCGGATAAGGTAACTAGGGTAAACTAATCAACAAAAAAAATATTTTAAATGATATTTTATGATAAATAATAATGCTTTTGCTTTAAAAAAATCATGTCGAACCTACATGACATGTCATTATCCTACCAAGCGAGTTTTCTTTTCATGATATTTCAATATACAGAGAGTGGATTGTACCTGGGTAGATGGTGTCGTCATCCGAGCCAGTGTCCACCCCCTTGTGGTGACTGGTGAGAGACCCCCGCTTGTCCTCCACAGCTGTGATGCCACACTCCACCCTCTCCAGCTCACAGTCCAGTAGAAAGGTGCGGAACCTGCACGACACACTGTGGTATGCCAGGAACCTCAGGTAGTAGTCGTTGAACTCAAACGCCAGTGGGAACTGACAGTGGATCTGCAACAGGACAGAACATTGATGTCTGGGATGCAGCTTTTTGGTTCAATTTTGTTTTATTAGTTGTTGGTTTTGTTATTGTCTAAAAAAGTCATTAAGAATTGGCTAATTCTCATAGATTCCCTGTAGGGATGGACGAGATTGGATTTTTAGTTCGAGACGAGACGAGACGAGATTTTTTATTTCTCATAAAATTTCGAGACGAGATCGAGACGAGATTTCTCTTCTCATACACAACGGGAAATGCACGTTCAAAATTTTTACCTGATTTTGTAACATTGTTAGATGACTGTTTAAATACTAAAATAATGATAATAGGCAAGAATATTTACAATCTTTCATTAAATAACATCAGCATAACATTTTTTTATTAATCACGCCTAACTTATTAATAATGCCTACGATTAGGAAACATGGTGATATCAGTTAGGATAGAGTTCAACTTATCCTAAAATAAAATAAATCATAAAATAAAAGCAATATTAATTTTTATAAAATAGTTACTTGTTTTGACTTTTTTTATAGTAATAAAACATTCCTCACACTGCTTACACTTAACAAAACTTCTCAAATGTTATTAAAGTAATATTATTAAAATAATGAAAGTAATATTTACATTAAAAGAATTAAAGTAATATTTACATTAAAAGAATTAAAGTAATATTTACATTAAAAGAATTAATTAAATAAGAACGCCTTCGAGAAGGAAACGCAACTACAACACGCTCCTGTATTGCGGGTTTCTGCAGGCGTTTTAAAATTTTTTTTTTTAATTCTTGTCTTGATAAAAATCTCGGCCAAAAAGTAATCTCGTCTCGTGTAACGAGATTGAAAATTTCCCGAGATTTCGAGACTTGACCATCCCTAATTCCCTGTGATGGCAAAGACATCATCATCGCCTCCCACAACCGTGACAAAATTCAGGGAATCTTTTGCGATTGCAGGAGTATAATCATTGTATTCAGCAATTGATTGCGATGAAATTGAGAGCATCCATTGCGGCACAATCTTGAACATCACCCGGGATCTCAAAGACATCATTATCACCTCCCATGGTCAAAATTATTGTATAACCCATAAACTTACAACTGGCATTTTTCATACCGTATGTTTTCAGCCTTATTTTTTAAAATTGTTTTTATAACTGAGCTCGACATTAAATAGGGGTGCCCGATGCATCGAAAATGCATCAAAATTCCTATTCGATTCCATTCAAAATAACGGTGATCAAAATAACGATTTGATTTATAGGGTGAAGGGGCCGATTATAAGGTATACATACGATAAAAAATCCCTATTCAAATTAATTCCTAACAATCTCTTTGCCATTCTTTTAAGCTATGACAGAAGTATGCCATTTACCTGATGTACAACGTCTAGGAACTGTAGGAAGGTGGGGGCGAAGCCGCTGGCTTGAGAGCTGGGCTGGAGATTGCTACGATGACTGAACCTGTGTCCGAACGCCAACCACTCTTTCTCAACTAACACTCTGAATCCTTCAATGGTGCGGTAGTGAGGGTCTAGACACAGTTGTGCCACTGCAGAGATCTGTGGGTGTAAAATTAAGGCTTTACTAGACACGTAAATTGTCAATACTTATGGGTCGTATGGGTCATATTTTGTTTGACAACAGTGGTTTTAAGCACACACACATACATACACACAGAGTACCTACTTCATCAAAAAAAGATCATGAAATTTTGATTAGGTTTCATAGATAAAGACAGAATACTTCATGTTGTATGTTGTTTTTCTGAATCATGATGATATAATCCATATAAATAAAATATAATATTAAAGACAGAATAGCTCAAAGGCTGAAAAATTTTAATGAAAGTACTTTGTTTTAATAATGTGAACTGTATTTTAACACTGTATAAATGTATAAATGCAATGAAAGAAGTGTGTTCTGTTCATTTTACATCATGTAACAAAACAACATTCAAATTTATTTAGACCGTGATTAATTTTGTGATCTTCAATACTAAAATTCGTCTTATAAAATCGAAGAATTGATGCAAACTGGCAGTAGGAAATTTTACTTTATTCAGCTTCACATTTTGACTTGACAGACATTCGCCATTAGAAGATTAATTTCAAGAAGGTTGTTTATGTTTAGCAAATAGGAGAGAATCTCTAATCGGTTATTGCTGTTCAAATTAAAGAAAAAAGAAAAAAACACTGAAATGTGATTGGTTGAAACCGAACTTATTTACAGTAATGTTCTGTTAGTGATAATTTGATATAAGATGAGATTATATCATGAGATTTTTAAAATGTGGAGATTTTATTGGAGTTGTCATAGGCTTTAGTTGTTTGGTAAAATCAACACAAAATGATTTTTACCGACTAACTGATTCAAACTTGGACACAGAAAAGAAACACAAACACTTTACACTATATGCCAGTTATCCTATGGACGTATAGGTAATAGCTAACCTGACAAGTGATATCCCAGCCATCCTCTAGACACAGTACAACGGAAGACCCTTGAACATCCAGTAAGTCCACTACGGCTCCTGACAACTGCATGATGTTCTGAATCTGCTGCAGCCACTGGGAGCTCTCTATCAGCCTGAAGCAAAAACAGGTGTTAGTCAAGGGCAAGCAGAAACATTTTCAGATTTCAGAGGACATCATTGAATATTTAAATGTCAAAAGGTTAGTATTATCGTTTAGACTACATTATTATGTCTGTTAACACACCAGTGTGTGTTCTAGTTCTTTAATCAGGATCATTAAATAAAAGACCAACTAATCAAGAACAACTGGGTCCAGATTCAACATACTTGTGGAAGGTCTGATCAGGTTCTTGGTTATTGGAGCTAGGCATGCAGGCTCTGATCAGCTTCTTGAACGCAGCCTTGGTCTGTCTGACATCTGCGTACTCCACAGGGACAAAGTCTGTCTTGGGAACGTTCTCTTTGCCTCCCTGCAATCAACAAAAATAGTCATTTGTCAACAGTGGTCATACCAAGTAGCATTATTCATTAGTAGTAGTTAGCACCAATGATCTAAATCCAACTTTCCCTCGTAGGCTTAACTTAACTCAACACATTTTCAAACAAATTCAAAACAGAATAGAATGTTTTGGATATGATGTTACCTTCATCTGATGTTTCTCTCCGAGTATGTAGAGAGCCGCTCGTTGGAAGGTCTGCACACACTCAGTACCAGAGTCAGAGTCCGCAGACAGTCTAGCAGGGTTGTGTGGTGCCCTCAGTGTGTTACCTTGCAGTGAGTTGCGTCTGTCCCTGTCCTTCAGCGAACCCCACCTGCCGAAACTCTTCCCGCTCTTGCCACCACTCGACCGGGGAAACACACTGAAATAACAAAACAGTGAAGGTTCGAAGGAAAAAAATTCTTACCAAATTTTGTTACCTGAGCAATTAAAACTTTAGCTGCACTTTATGTCTCACTTTAGGTTTTTGACAATCCTATTGTCCCACCAAAGTCAAACAAATCCACTGCAATTGTTTTATCTCTCATGGCGCCTCTTCTCGATAAGGGTTTTACGCTCTGGATGGACAATTGGTACAATTCACCGGATTTTTCAAAGTTATTGAAAGAAAGGAAAACTGACACTTGTGGCACCATGAAACTGACCAGGAAGTGTGTACCTGATGAAGTAAAAAGTCAAAAGTTGGATAAGGGTGAAATAGTTGTATTGCATAGCGAAGATGTCATGATCATGAAATGGTGCGATAAACGAGTTGTCTCTCTTATTTCAACCTTCCATTCCCATGAAATGGGAGTGAAAACTAGCAAGAGTGGTAAGCAAGAAATTAAGCCAGTTTTGGTACTTGACTATAATAAACAAATGGGAGGGGTTGACTTGAGGGATCAAATGCTACACAGTTATCAGCTTGAAAGAAAGAGGGGGCAGAAATGGTATATAAAAATTTTCAAAAGGCTGCTAAATGTTACTGTTTTGAATTCCTATCTTATTTGGAAATGTACCAATCAAAAAAGTGAACATTTTGCCTTCAGATTAGAATTGGTAAAATTTTATTTGAAACCTATGGATCCCAAGGGCAGAGAAATGTAAGTGGTAGACCATCGATCGAGCCCAAACCAGCTCGGCTAACCGAAAGACATTTCCTTTACCTCATTTCACCTACTGCAAACAAAGTGAATGCTCAAAGAAGGTGTTGTGTGTGTTCCAAGAGAGGAATTAGAAGGGACACTAGGTGCTGGTGCCCAAAATGTGATGCTGGACTATGTTTGGGAGAAAGTTTCGAAGATTACCACACAAAACTCAACTTTTAAGGTATGAAAAACTTGTATAACTGTCCTAGACTTTTAATGTACCTATTATATATTTTTTAAACCAAGTAATTTGCTGTTTAATTTGGTGAAAGAATTGTTAAAATATAATTATAAATAACAAAGTTATACGCGTTTATTGTACAAATGTTCCGAGCCTGCTGGAAATACAAAAAAACCCACGCAGCAGGGTTGGTCTTTATTAAAAAAACTCGCGCGTTGAAGGGTTAATCCCGACAAATTCACACAAAGTATTAGGAATACATATTGATTCAAAATTAAATTGGGGAGATCATATTCAATATCTAACAAAAAAATTACTTTCTTTTCGCTATGCAATAAGTGTTACAATTGATGCAACATCTCTGGAAGTATGTAAATTAGTATATTGTGCCTATATTGATTCTATAATAAGGTATGGTATAGTACTCTGGGGATCCAGTCCCAAAACAAAAAAACTTCTTAACGCACAAAAATCAATTGTACGTACCATGGTTAAAGTGTCAAAGAAAAAAAGTTCTAGACCTCATTTTAAAAGATTAGGGATTTAGAAGATTTCTATTCTGATGTTTTCCAAACGGACAAGAATTAATTTAACTTTGTAAATTAAATTCACGTTGAATACATACCTGATGGCTTTCATTAATTTTAGCAGGATTTTATCTTATTTGTTGTTTTTTATAATGGTAACTTTTACTTAATGCAGTAGTAATAATTTTGAGTTGTGTGTATTTATTATAATTTTTATTATGACGACACTCCTATCCTTGTACGTTGTACTTTGTAAGATGTTATGAGTGAATAAAGAATTTGAATTTGAATTAAACTATGATGCATGACTCTTAGAGGTACACAGATTGTTAAGAGGAGGAATGCAAAAGAGATTGACCTCAGTTTTTCTTAATTATGAGAATTTCCCAATAAATGTGAGTATGCATTAATACACCTTAAATCCAATGAGATTCTCCTGACTTTGAAATCTTGTCAACAATTTACTTTAATATACTGGAGTATATATCCTGTCCGTATGGACCAACTGTCACAAATTTGTATTAAAAATAAAAATAACATAGTTGAATAAGCCACTCTTACAATCAAAAATAATTTTTTCTCTATTACTTTTTGATACAAAGATAGATCATGAGACATAAAAGACACTCTAGCTAACAATAAGTTTTTTCAGTTTGACTTGGTTAAAAAGTTGGCGAATTTAATATAAACCAGTAATTTACAACAGCACACTCTGTCGTTGGCTCAAATCAACTACGTCCATTTTGTTTCTTAAGTTACAATGCCTTCAACATGGAGATGGAATGTCTATTCACCACATACCCGATGGTGCCCATTGCCTTATTGAACGGGTTTGAGCGCCGTGACGACTCAGGAGTCATGGTGTTGTCTTCAGCAGCCAATAGAAGAGAGTTGATACTGAGACTGGAGTCGGACATGTTCCATGTCTGTCGTTGTAGTGACAGCGGAGTCACATTCACCAGCACTGACAGATACCTGCAGGAAATACTGCATAGTAATCATCTGATACATGTGCTCTAAACTAAGATCTATTAAAAAATTTGTCGTGTACGGACCCGAGCCATTATAACAAGGGCTTTTGTCAAGGGAGAAATTACTGGGGAGGCATAGACAGACCTCTGCGCCTAATCTAACCTGAAATAATGGAGATATAGCCTAACAATTTATGCTGAAATGTAATTTGACATACGTCTGTATTGTAACATTTAATTGAATGACTAAGCCCTGGCATATTCAAGCTTAACATCCCTCTAGATCACTTATTGAACTTAAGTAAGGAATCTTGTGATTAGTGTCAACAACTCTAGCAAGACTTCCTAATGAATTCTGACATTTTTATAGCACCACCCAGTAATAGCTGATGGGCCACTCCACTTCCCGATGAGAAGCTAACAATTGCAAATTCCAAATATTATCAATTTTTAGACCCAAAAAAGAAAATGGTCAGTGGACAATGAAGCGCAAATAGAGAATTATGGGACCGGTATCAAAGACCACACATGGATTTCAAAGCAAATAATCTGACTTCTGACTTGTAAAAGTAGTGGAAAAGAAGATGGTATGATAAAGCATATAATAGGGTTTCTTCTACACTTTTAGTTAGTATCCACCAGCTTACCCAGCTGGTTGATCCAAGGTATGTTTAACGTCTACTTTACAGACTTTTCTTTGGATTGCCATGGCGACCAAAATTAGTAGTAGCACTCAAACAAAAATTCAGGTAAGCCTGTTATTCCTGCTAAAGATTCTGAAAACTATGGTCCTCGTGCTCTGCGTTATATCCTTAGCATCAAACTAATACAACAAGAAGGTTAAATTTTAAAGGAAAGCAAAGTAGATGTATGATTTTATTTTATTTGATCACGTGGTTGGGTATAATTTTGAAGAAGGATGGAGTTGAGTAAATAAAGGAACGAATAGACAGATCTTTATTCAGCAAGGCTTTTTTCCAGATTATGTTAGCTTAAATGAGAAAATTAAGAGTCCAGGGGCTCTTCAAAATAATTCATAATAGATTAAGAAGGAAAGCCCATTGGCTAGAAATTTCTCCTCAATCTACTCATTGCAGAATGATTATTTCAGGACAAGACATCAGTGGTATGCGTTAAGATCTTTTATTTGTGTATCTATTAGCCAGAAGACTAATTTCCTGAGGTAAGTTAGCTGAACTCTCTCTTCTAAATAATTTCTAACCAGCCAATTGGCATCCTATTAAAATATGACCCAATGGAAAAACGACCGATTTTTAACCAAAACATTTACTTACCTCTCCTGCTCTAAACTAGAGCTGGTCTCCGTCACAGACACTCCAGCAGACGACGGATGTGTACTCTTTAGCATCCCCATGACTCCCTTGCCGTGGTAGCTGGCTCCCCGCAGTAGCAAGGCCTTGTTACGGGGATGTCTCCACGTCACTACAGGGAACCTACTGTGTCTGTAGCAGCGGTAAAACTTGCGCAGACTGTCGTCACTGACGGCCGTCGGCATAACCAGCAGTGCAGGGTAACTGAGGACAAACATTACATTGTCAAAATGTGTACTAGCTTACTTTTACTTACTCCCGGGCCGTATCTGAGTAGGTTTTAGGCAGCACCAACAAAGTCCCTCAACCTCCCTCGATCTCCTGTGTCTTCCTCATTTGCTCCTATTCTCTTCATAGTAACCATTAGGCCTACTTGGCACCTTCATTTTTGCCAAGGCCTTCCTCCAGAGTTCCTTTTTATTGCTTATTTGAGATTATTTCCATCCCCTCTTCTCAAAAAACGCCCAGCACATAAAACTTTCTACATTTAAACTCACACACTACATTTTTCTGAATCCTTGTTAAGTTCTCTTAGTTCTCTGTTGTGTTCTCCCAACTCTCCTTCCTCTTTAATTGGCTCACAATCTTCTTATGAAGCTTACTTACAAATACAATCAATTTTGTTTCCTCTTTTTTACCTAATTGTAGGAAAACTTTTGATGGATTAAATGAAATTTTTAGTGCACAAACATTCACTTTTCCCCATTAAAATGTATTGCATTTTATAATTTTAGAACCTTTTTCCTGATAATCACTTTTTCACTTTTTAAACTTTTTAACAGGTCTGTGGAAACCCAGAACAGTCTCAATCTGACCCAAACCGGCTTTAGCCAGGTCAGATAAACAGAAAGAATTTCCATAAAGATTTATTACCTGCGACACATCATGTAGGCACTGTTGACAGAAGTGATGCGGAAAGGTTCTTTACTCTTGCCGCCGGAGTTAGACTGTGTCACAAGCCCCAGTCTGGTCCAATCTCTTACATAACTTCTCTCCGTCAACCTTTCTAATGTCTTGGAGTCCGTTACCAGGCCCGGTGACACACCCACCACCGACTCAAACTCGTCAACTGTAACAACATTTAACAATTCAATTAGACATTCAACACTTTCAAATATCATCTCATCAATTCAATCACATTTCATCAAGGTTCACGTTATCTTTACATTTAATTTTTGTGATACTTTTGTACAACACTCAACTAAAATGAGACGTAGGAATTGGCTAACTCAGGAACTCGCTAAAAGGATTACATCCTCTTCCAATTATTACTAAAATTACATACTCTTCTATGGAAATCTAAATTGGCTAAACAAATTATAATTCTTTTTCATAACGAAATATCAATGTACAAGTGGTATAAAAAAATGTGGAATAACTTGTTCCAACTAATCTACAATATTTTTATTTATGTCTGTAAGTGGTAGACATGGTTTTATAATGTAGTGGGTTAGGTTTTTGGGTCAATCATAACCTAAGCAATATTCATAGTCACCTAAAAGAAAGTACAGTGGCCTAAATAAAAATAAAACCACTTTTGTCATTGCGAAATTTGTCAGAAAAATATATAGGCCCTAAATGTAATGGACACTAAGGCGTCATTGTGTCTAAAATTAAACCTTAATGTCTAAAATTTGGTGAAATCTTTTTATCAAGGAAAATTTTAGTTTGACAGGTTGATTATATGTGCACATGAGTAGATAGTAATGTACCGATCCTAAACCAAAAAAGGAAGACTTCAATAAATCAATGTAAAATCTATGTTTTTAACACAAATCATGTTATGATTCGTGTTCGTGTTGATTTGTGTTAAAAAACATAGATTTTACATTGATTTATTGAAGTCTTCCTTTTTTGGTTTAGGATCGGTACATTACTATCTACTCACATGTTGTTATAATAAGTGATTATGTTTGACAGGGGCTACATTGTGTGTGCAAACATCTCTGCTTCTTTTACCAGTTGGGGTTTTAATATTGGGAATACTTTTGCTTTACTTTACTGTCAACTCCAATCTCAGTTATCAGAGCCTCAGTCAAGATAACGTAATCACAATAACATGAGTTGCAGTAAGAAAAAAGTCTTTTTAGTTTTCCAGAATGCCACTGGAAAATCAAAACTCTTTTGATTTACTTGATATAGTCAGCGGTTTTTAGGGGTGTGCGATGCAGCATATTTTTTTCGATTCGATGCATCGATGCGATTCAAAGAATTTCGATTCGAATCGATGCAATTCGATTCGATGCAGCACGGCATGATTTTCTTCAAAAATTAAATACAACATGTGTTTCTGTAATGGATCCTTTACCTTAAAAAAAGTTAAAGTAAAAAATGTACTAAATAAAATTATGAACAAGAGGATAGTTGCTGACCTAACCTCATTAATGGACACTGCTAATTTTATGGTTGGCCTAAGGAAATTCACCCTTCACTAACAATTAGAATAAGCCTATATATCAATAAAGCAATCGTTAAGTTTATTATTATTGACCTGTATTAAATAAAATAGAGTTTATTTTATGACGTACGGTAGTATTGTTACTTAGTTTTCACATTTATATTTGTTGGCTTTCAATACTTCTGGTTCATTCTTAAATCAGCACGAACCAAAAAAGTTGATTATCAGTGTTTACTGTCTATTTTAGTGATGGTCGGATCCGGATATCGGACTACTGGATCCGCCGGATCTGAGCTAGACCGACGCCCGATCGTATCCACAAAAAATCGGATCTTGGGCTGGATCCGGTTTTAATGGATCCAATTTTATTTATACTATTAACACAAAATGGACGAATATTCGAGATTTTGAGTTTGAGTAAAGTACAATATAGAAATAAGCAAGATAGGTAGTTGTCCTAACCTATTTTTATAGCTGTCACAACAGAATAGGTCAACTCAAAGCAGTCGCCGGCGACTGACTGGCAATGGCAATGGTATACTGACTTGACACAGAATAGAATGACATGACCGGTAGTGATTTTGTTTTAAAGTAGGCCTACTGTTTCACAATAGAAAATTTCACTACTGAACTACGTAAGCAATAAATTTATGTTTATAAAAGTCAGAATAGAAACACTATAAAGGCAAAACAATAGACGGGAGGCAGGCGTTGTGCAATGACCTTGAAATGAGCGGAATAGTAACATTGAGTAGGGGAAGGGAAGGGTGAGACCTTTGAGCTATATTTAGACTAGACTTTCACCACTTCCCAAATGGCTGGGTACGGGGATTACAATAGCAGGTTTTTTCCTTGCCTGGTTTGACTTTTGTCTTTTTGTGTAGGAGATTTGAATAATCAAAAATATAATTTGAATTGACCACAATTATTTAGCATTGATAATACAATTTGCAAGGGACCAGGAGGAAATAGAGCAAAACACTAAAATTAATAGAATAACAAACAAAGTAAACAACAAATTAAATACAGAACACGGTGATTTAACACTGTCACTGTCACTCAATTTTGTTGTCTAGAAGGGTCGGTGAACTAATCAATAAATAGCCAAAACCAGTTTCCTCCCCCTCTAACCACCACCCCTCCCCCCTAAGCCGGGAGGCCCAACACTTTGTCCTTGAAACACCCTAGCCTCTGAAACAATAAACCCTTACACCTGCGTTGCTGTTTTGACAACAGGTTTATGAATGCGTTCACTATTTTTCATTTTCCAGAATTAACTATCAATTATTATTATTTGCAAGTTACAAATAGGAAACTACATGACATTAAGGTACCTATTCAATGACCCATGTATTATCAAAAATTTATAATTGATTACTTATTTTGATAATAAAAAGCATTCATTACAGCACGCAGCACTTATTGATATATATATATATATATATATATATATATACTGTATATATAATCATCAAAGTATCTGTTACTTTATACAAAATAAAATAGGTACAAAATTGTGTGGCCAGTCAAAATTTATAAACAAACATTTTATTCTATAAAATACAGATGGTAAATAGGGGTTGGTTTAAAGGAAATAAAATACAAAACAGATTAATTAATTATTTTGATAAACGATAGAAAGGTTATGGGATTGATTGAACTAAAATAACCACAGGGAATCTTAAGTAGAAAAGTCGTCAACCACAATCTGTTTAATCAGTACATCGTTAGAGAGAGAGGGGGGGGGGAGAGAGAGATAGCAGATAGGGGCGTTTGATAGGGAATCTGAAAAAGTAAACAAACAAGGAACAACGACGCGACAATACTCGTTTATAACCTTATTGTCAAATCTAGGTCTTTGTAAGACAAAAGAAAATCACACCGTTTTAAACTTTAACCTAATTTTATACTCTTTACAAACAAACACGTCCTACATAACGGTTCTTGATATTTATCAATGTATCTTAGCAATCGTCACTTGCTCCATTGAAACACGAACGTCGATTGGCTGACATGACAGTGCAGCGTGGCCTCTCGACCAATGAGAACTCTTGTTACATACTTTGATTTATCTTAGATGGTCAACATTTACCATTCATTATAATATTACAAAATCGACATGGACTATGCGTATGGTGTTTTTCAATCAAAACTTATGTTATAGTAGCACTTAAAACTTCACTTAAACTCTTAAACTAGGTAGATAGTACAGATATAATATGGATCTACTTTTTGTTGCAATAGGCAAGTGCAAGCCTAACCCTCTGACTTCGATGTTGTAATTGAATCGAATTTTTCTAATGATGCGTAATGCAGGGATGAAACTGAACATTTAGACAAGTTTAGGTTATTTATTTTGTTCTAAAAATAAAAATAATACATTTAAAGATCTGACTTATTGATACAGACATTTTTTAGTATAATTTCGTATTTTCGTGTTGAGGACACTCGCGCGCCGGTTGTCTGAGACTGAATTCTGACTGTCTGACATCTTGAAATGTAGATTGTATTGTGTTGTGCAATATCATCTGCCTGCAGAGAGAACAGCTGAAAATAAACTTTAGCTGTTTTGAACTAAATAGTGTGCTAAGTTGGTTACTAAAGTTGTTAGCGTGATTACAAACTAATAGATATCAAATAAATAAATGTTAAAATAAAATATCTATCCATCCCTGTCGGCTGTCGGTATCAGCGGAATCGGGCGAAATCGATGTTTGGCAATCGATTCTTGATACCGATATTCCTAGTATCGGCAATGTCTGAGTATCGGTGGTAGCGATAATTGACACTTCCCTATCTAAAACTCATTTTGGAGTCCTGAATTAGTTTTAAATATGCATCGGGACGTAATCGTTGCATCGGGAGCTAACCGATGCATCGGTCTTTTTCGATGCATCGAGGCCAAATCGATGCATCGTGATTTCGATGCATGCTGAATCGAATCGCGATTCGATGCATCGAATCGAATCGAATCGAAATTTCGATGCATTTTCGATGCATCGCACACCCCTAGCGGTTTTATACCTGAGAGATCGTCCAAGTCTCCGACAGGAAGGTTCATACGGCCAGGTGATGTCATGTATTTGTTTACATTGTTGGAGACATTGGGCAGAACATACTTCTGTCTCTTGGAAGACGTCTTCTGCTTGAACCCTGCCTTGCGAGCTGTCTTTAACAGTGTCTTCTTGGCAAAACCTCTGATAACAAAAGGAAAGATTAAAATCACAGACATAAATTTCAAAATTTCTGATACTTTCCAACTACAAAAACTGTTTAAATAATCCATTACCTTCATAGTGGTTACTATTTATCCTATCTTTCAACTGATTAAATCCTATTGTTTGATAATCTGTTACTACTAATCATGAATCAGTTCTAAGAGTCAGTAGTTGGTTTTATTAGTTATTGGAAAAAAAACCAAACTGCCGCAATCGAAGGAGACGATGATGTCTTTGCAATAACTGGAGATGATTACTATAGTATTGCGATCCACAATGACATTATATTAAATGCACACTAACAAAATTTATCAGTTATCAGAGTGTTTGGGAAAAAAATACTTTTTTTGTTTTGTTTAAAGGACTATTGCATACATCTTTCATCAGTTATTAGTGAAACTCAAGTTTTGCCTGCAATAATCCAAAACCTACCATCTCCAACAATAAACCTTACACACAAAAATACTATCAGTGTGGTTTAGGCTAGGATAAATAATTGCCAAACAAAAAATATTTACTGTAATAAAAATAGTGCTAACACTTATCATGAGCATTTAACTGCACATTATTTATTGTTGTATTGTCATCTCAATGAATCCATTTAAAACTGGTTAAATATAGTTGCCTGAATACTTACTATATTTTTGTTCAAGTTTATGCACGTTATTTATTGTTCTATTGTAATCTCGATCAATCCATTTTAAATCTGGTCAAATATTGTTGTTTAGATTATTTAGGCTATTGTATTATTGTTAAAAGTTAAGAATTATTTAATGCATGTTATTTATTGTAATTTGTTTGTTGAAAATAATTGATTTAAGGTTTTTTTCAAACTAGTAAATTTTGGGCTTATATAGACAGTTGTCTTGGAAAGGTAGAGTAGAATGGAAAAAAACAGTGAAAGCAGATTTGAACCAGAAACAGGGAAAACAAAAGTGGTTATAGGGACTGACCAGGACAAAGTAGATTATCAAGCAACCAGTTTCTCTATGAGCTGCAGACAAGCCAATATTTTACTGGCTTTTGCAACAATTCGCAAGCCATTATACACTTTGTAAGATTTTGTGATTTTTTGAAATAAATAATAAAAAATTATTTTATGTCCAACAACAAAATCTACCTAAGAGTGGCGTTTTTCTCCTTATCCTTATGTAGAGGTGTTTGCGACACTACCACTTGTCCCGTGAAGGCAAAGTGATGGAAGATGTGTGGAGGATGTCGTACTTTGTGTATCAGTTTGCGGAATGCTTCTATACTCTCTGCCGTCACCTCGTCGTCAAACGCCACCTTCATCAACTGCAGTAAACATACTTGTGTTAGAATTTCCAAAAGCCTTGGCATAGCTAAGCTATGGCTTACAAATCCTGTAGCCTAAAAGTCAAGTTTTGAACTACTGCGCTAGGAATTTGGAATGACCAGTGTTTTCAGTGTAATAGACTGTTACGCATGATCGAAAAGATCAGAGCTTGGTGGTAGTGACCCTCGGTGGGTAGCTCAAGTGGAATGGGTTAACTCAGGTTAACGGAATGGGTGATTTTTATAGCTATACCACAAATCAGTCATTTTCCTACACTTACCTATCCTTTCTGTGTTCGTTTCCAACAAATTACCTGTAATAATTTGGATTTGTTATTTATTAGATTAAAACAACATGAAACTTAGAAAAAAATCATTAAAGGAGGGAAAGACTAAAAAGGTTACCTAATAATGTAACTTTGACCAAAACGTGTTTATCAAAGAAAATAAAAAACAAAGATTTTTAGCAATTATGATTTATTGAGGATGGATTTTATTTTGTCAGACTGACCTGAAACGTACAAGACCGCAATTGCAGACCCTCCTGTAGCCACTGGTCGAGGTGTGCCAAGTACTGTACAGAGATACGCTTCTCTTTAGTGAGGGAAGTGACTGGGAAAGCCCTCACAACCAGCTGTTCACTAGCTGTTCAAAGTAAAAATTATGTTTAAAAATCTAATACATTAAGACCTCACTAACTAAACAATTTGTGGACCAAGAAATTGTCAGGTTTGGGGGTTGTCAAGCTATCCAGAATATTGAAAATTGTAATAGGTTTTAATAAATAAATACACAACAGACTAATATGTAGGACTAACAAACCAACATCCTATAAAAGAGGATGTTGGTTTGTTTGTATGTTTGTATATTTGGCAGTTATAATCTCAGACACCGCTGGACCAATGTTTGTTATTACTTGCTATTACTATTTATTAGGGGTCTGCGGTACAGAAAATTTAAGGTCGGTACGGTTCGGTACGGTACAATATTTTGTACCTCGGTTCTCGGTACATAATCGGTACGGTACGCGGCTACCCGTATTTTTGCGTTTTCTTCTCAGAACTGTATTAAAACCATTATTTTTAACTATAATACATTGACATTACTATGCCACTTCTATATATAGACTCGTCCCCGGTGACGTCACCACCTGGGGATTCCCCAGTCCCGTGACCGCGAACTTGGCTCTTGGGGCAGTTTAAAACTGTTTAAAAACGCTTATATCTCGAAAACGGCTTGAGATACGGCAAAACGGTTGAAATTCTGGCACACATAGTGGGAGTCAACTTTTGATTATAAACAATATTACAACATTAAAAAATCAAAAGTAAAAAAAAAATTAACATTATTTTATATGGGTAGGCTACAAATAAAAGTTACCATGAAAAATCATCTAAGTCCGTAAACTGTCTAAAAACGCTTATATCTCGAAAACGGCTTGAGATACGGCAAAACGGTTGAAATTCTGGCACACATAGTGGGTGTCAACTTTTGATTATAAACAATATTACAACATTAAAAAATCAAAAAGTAAAAAAAAAATTAACATTATTTTATATGGGTAGCGCGTAATTAGGAAACTAAAAAACATTTTTAAGCCTTAAACAGCCACATATAACAATGTAAGACACAGAACATGCAATGACATAATTTGAGACCGAGTAGGCTTGCATAACAACGAGAAAAAAATTATGCAAACAACAAATATGCTTGTGGTTTCTCAATAGAAAGATAAAATATTTATAACAAATATTTTAACTTATAAATAAGATTGTAGATTAGATTGGTTACAAGTTGAATTTGTAGCACCTAACATTTTTATGGCAGTAGGCAATGCCAGCGGCAAATTGAATATTCACGAAAATACTGACTGAGTTAGAGATAACATTTAACAGTCATCATAAAACTATTATTTTTATGATAAAATAGAATTGGTGAAAGTCGTAAAGATATAAAAGTGATAAAATTCAACAGTTCTTGGAAGTACTTGAATACAACAATTATTGTCGAGACAAAATGTTATTGTCATGATAAAATGTTAATGGATTTGGGACTGCTAATGGGTTTTTTATTGCATCATCACCCCAGTAATAAATTATGAAGATCGTAAACAAACATCTGATAAGACTTTTATGTGCTCGGAACCAACTGTCGTTGACTACGATAGTAAACTGAAAGTAATTTATTATTATAATAGGCTGTACCGAACCGAATTTGTACCGTGTAAAATGCTGTACCGAACCGATGACGGTAATTAAGCTTGTACCGTACCGTACCGACTTTTTCGGTGCACCGCAGACCCCTACTATTTATTATCACTTTGTTATTAAGTTACCATTGTTATTACTTTTCTAGTTAGTAATATTGCAAATGCCATCTCATATTGTATACACATATTTTGTAAAAAGGTGCAATCCGTTGGGGAAATAAATAAATAAATAAATAAATGGCCACGAAACTAAGTACATATGTATAGAACTTCATGATCCGTCCAAACAGCTCCGCCCCAGTGGCTTTGGAGTTTCCCCATTTTAACCTTATGAGTACTTTTATTTAAATGGAATTAAAGCATCTTAATAGCTGTTTCAACTAAACAAATAGATTCTGCGATGTTCAATAGCTTTAAAAAGTTAATAGGTTTACCAACAAGGCGCAGTACTATTAATTGTTTAAATTTATGACAACAGCTAATTTGTACTAAGTAGAAACAAAAAGCTTTGATACTTTGAGCTTGAGCTTTGAGCTTTGATGGATTTTTTACAGTTATGTTTAAATGTAGCCAGTTAATAATAATAGTATTTTAATAAAAGTCTATCTACATATAGCAGATCTAGAGAACATAATAATTAATTGTTATCTTTAACGTTCTCAAGCTGCTTGCCATTCCGCATCTTGATCCCGTTGCAAGGCACGGGTATAGCGGTTAGTTTTTTTACAAATATTCAACAATTAAAACTTGAAAATTCAAACAAAAAGGTAAGACAAAACCAGCTACACGTTTGCCCTGTCACCTGTTGACTGTCGAGTTAACGAGGTTTTACTGTACATAGATTGTTGAAAACTCAACACTTTTTTAAAAAACATTACTTTTGTCAAATCTAGGTTTTGGATGATGACTCCGTTGTTGAATGAGTAAGACTAGAGGCCAAAGTTACGTATTCGTAGCAGCTATCCATCTTCAGGGCAAACTACTATTCAACTGAATCGAACATTGATTTTGCCAAAGTTACATTTTCTGTTGGATATAGGGATTTTAGTTCCATTTTATTTTTATTTTTATTTAATTTATGATGGCCATCTTACCACTGTCATCAAATTTGTCATCACTTGATCATGATATCAAATTTGGACTACAGGTGAAGGCAAGATAAAAGCCATATTGTCGTCAATGGGGCCCAAGAGCTATACAATGGATTGTTATAATTTGAGAAGTCCATGGTATCACTATTGATTTTCCATACTGAAGAAGACAGCACATTTGCATGGACCAGCTGAAGCCAATATTAATTTTTTGTTAAACTTGGTTGCGGGGACTGTTCCCAGACTGTGACAGTATAAAACTCAATTTCCTTCCTTAGATTTTGTTACTGAGATAGTTGATGTAAAAAAATATGTCAATAATAATTTACAAGTTGTCATATCAGTTTGACTTGGATAAAAATGAGCATCTTTGACATATATTGGTAATTTTTATAAGCATTTTTTGGTGATGACACAATTCTACTATGTCCTACTATTTTTATTCAAAAACTGGGAAAAACTTTAACATGGGGATGAAATGTTTAGTTCAACAACAATCCAATGATCACTCACCGAAGGGATCTGAAGGTGTTCCCTTGAACACTATGCGGTAGTTGGTGACAAAGATGGCTCCCTCGGCTGGTAGTAGCGGAGGACCTCCCACTACACCCCCGACTCCTTCCTCCCTCCCGTCTGGCAGTAAGTAAACCCTCAACCCCTCGGACAGAGGCTCCTCTCCGGGCAACATACTGGGAGTCAGGATCTTGGGCTGTGACACAGTTAACATTGATACCTTTACACACAATAATTAAAACTACTATTTACGTTTGCCTAGCACTGTCAGAAAATGTTGATAGTCATGCTGTACATGTTTCCAACTTGTTACAATTTATCATCAGCAGCAGAATAAATACGGTAATTTAAGAATGGCACATCGTTCAATGTCATAAGTTGTAATCATAAAGACACTCACAATTTTGGTCCAGTTTTCAAATTGTAGGTATGGCCTACTATAAATTGTGGTTTAGCATGGCTTACGTGTGTGTTGTTGGTGTTATTTGTTTGTGTATCTGTTCAATAATAATGCACACAGATTAACAGAGCAGCATAAATAGAAATTAAATTAAAAATAAAATCACCTATATTGAAAACTTACTGCAGCATAGCCAAAATACCGATACATTGGGAAGTTAAAAAGTAGTTCGACCAGCAGTATCTGCAAGTTTTTAAAAGAGATAAGTGGTTAGCTGTAGATAGCACTAGTTTAATTGGCAATAGTTTTTCGGAAAAACTTACATGTATCAAAGAAACCCTGGATATTAAGACATGTTTTGAATTTTTCAAAATCGAACCAAAAATGTTTTGATTGATTTTATATGATATGTTACCTTCTGTATGGGCGGCAGTCGTTTGCTCTCCCTATGCACGGCTTCCAGTGTCTCAACATGCATGTGTACCACTCCAGGCACCATCTGATGCAGACTCCGGATGTGCTCAGCTTTCACACTGCCCTCTGTGCACACCTTATCCACAAACCTGGACACCATCCGGATTACCTGTCCTGACGCTTCTGACGGATCTTGCTCTTCGAATCCGGACTCTGCATCACCGCTAGCCTCACTCTCCGCTATGCTTGACCTACACAATTACATTTATGTATTGCCTTCCGGATTATTTTACATTTTGATGAATTGACAGAGTCTTTATTGGAGGTATTTTAACTAGTTTACGTACATGGAATTGACCTCAACCTTACGGCTACGGTAGCAATTTAGCATTATTTGCACGATATTTTCGTGCCGGTGAGACACAGGCTAGTTGCCTGACTCTATCCGAGACTGGTAAGCTACGGTAATACCATTATTGTACGGTATTTTCGTGCGGACAAAACACAGGCCGGTTGCCTGACTCTATAAGAGACATTGCAAAATTTGTCTTGATACTGGAACTGGCACAATAGTTTTGTGTCGGCAAGATTTTGGCCGGTTGCCTGACTAGCTACAGTACTAAACTGACTAGTTTTCGGATGATAACATGGTATTAACTTCGCAGTTTGCATCGCCATCATTTTATTTGGAGAATCATCTAGTCTAAATCTAGACTAGATTAACTGTTGTACGTGATAGTATAATATTATTGATACATGACAAGTTTTGTCTCAGTGATTTAGTGTTGTCCCAAAAATAAATAAAAATCTGTAGGTCTACAAAAATTTAGGTGACAATTTAAGCAAATTCCATGACAATAGGGGACATCGGTGACTTTTCGGGGACTTCGGGGACATCCGTGACAGGTAGACACCCTGTAAACAGAATTGGGGAAAGCCGTAAAAGAAATAAAAGTGATAAACCTCAACAGTTCTTGGAAGTACTTGAATACAACAATTATTGTCATGATAAAATATTAATGGATTTAAGACTGCTAATGGGTTTTTTATTGCATCATCACCCTAGTAATAAATTATGAAGATCGTAAACAAACATCTGATAAGACTTTTATGTGCTTGGAACAAACTGCCGTTGACTACAATAGTAAACTGAAAGTAATTTATTATTATAATAGGCTGTGAACCGAATTTGTACCTTGTACCGTAATTGACTAAGAATCAAACTATTTAATGCACTTTGATGTAAATAACTTAAATGGCTAAGCAATGTCTCAGTGTATGCCTTATCCTCAATAAGCAATCTCTCGGTGTAGATACACTTCCCCAATGAATCGAATCATCATTTTGATTACCATAGAATCTTGTTCTAATTCTAATCGTGATTCGATGCATCAAATCAAATCGGGATTTCAATTAATTTTTGATGCATCGCACACATTGGTTAAGTCGATGTCAATGTATTCATTTTCAAAGTCAAGTAATCAAAGTGAAATGACTCCAGGATTACTTTGACTAAAAGGTTACACAGCATTTTGTTAATAATTACACAATTTGTTTGTTTAGCCTTTTTGAAGAGTCAGATAGGATACTGGTTTTATGTATTTTAATGTTTTTGTTTTTGTTTTTTAACTGTGTTTTTTAGTCTTTTTCTACTTTTTGTTAGTTATCATTATTTGTTTTTTTCTGTTTTCTAAATTTACTTAGGCTTACCTGTTGGTGATGTTGCTAACCCTCTCTGCGTCCAGGTGGTTGCTATCCACCTTGTGACTCTTGCTGGCTATATCCAGGGGTACCAACAACGACACCATCCTGTTGGCGTAGTGGATAGCCTGGCTGTACAACGTAGACTCCTCACTGTTCACTAGTTGGGCTTGTTTTTCTGAAATGCAAAAAGATCTTTAATTTATATTAAAATACAAAATTTGGATTTGAATTGATCATATAAACACCGTAGTGAGATCTTACAAGAGATTAAAAAAGGTGTTTAATTCAGTTATGCCGTCTTTACCATTAGATTTTTCACAAATTGAATCATTTGCTCAAAGGGTTTACATTTGTTCATTATTAATTCCTACAGACTGGGAGCGGATTAGTTTTAAAACTAGTATTTATCTAGATTTTTTTGTATTGTCCAGTTCATGTTTTTTACTTACAAACTACACCTAAGAGTTACTACTTACGTATTACTAATGATTTTACCTGAGTTATTTTTACCACACAAATAACACAATTAACAAAGCTACACTTATGACTCTGCTACCTTACCACCATTTAAGATGGGTACGTCAATAGGTGTATTTTAATCCAAATTCAAATAAAATGATTATAACTAACTAGGGATGGGACAATTCCGATTCTTGATACCTCGATACCTTCGATACCAGTGGTATCCTTGATAACAAACTAACATGGAAAGAGCATATTAACCACTTAAGCAAAAAAATCAGTACTGGAATATATGTCATCAGAAGAATAAACTACATAGGCGGACTCTCCGTGGCCAAAACAGCTTACTTCGCACTGGTAGAGTCGCATCTTAGATATGGCTTGACAGTGTGGGGAGGAACTTCAACAAAAAATATGAATCGAATTCTTGTCCTTCAAAAGAAAGCCATAAGAGCCCTTGCGAACCTTGTCCCACCACAGACTTGCAGACTAGCATTCGCAAACCTAGGAATCCTCACAGTGGTGTCTCTCTACATACTTGAATCTATAAAGTATGTGAATGAAATAAACCCCCCAAGAAACCGAGACCTGCACCACTACAACACCAGTCATGGCTCCAAATTTGCACTACCACTACTACCAGTTCACCGAACAACTCTTTGGGAGAAAAAACCTTCCTACACCGGCTGCAAGCTGAGGAACCATCTACCTGACTACCTGAGAGACCTGACTGGCAACAAGCTACACCAGGAGTTGAAGAAGTGGCTAAAGCCGCGGTCACACTAGGCTGTTTAGTAGCCGCTTCTAACCAGCCGCTGGTAATATTGCTGAATATTGCCAGCAAGCAGCCTAGTCTGACCCAGAACCAGCGGCCGGTGAATGCCAGCGCGCTAGTGTTTACTAGCCACAATCAGAAGTTGAACATGTTTAACTTATGAGCGCTGCCTACCCTCCGCTGGCAGTCACGTGATCTCCTTGCTGGCACCAGCCAGCCAATGTGAACCCCTAGTAGCTAACAAGCGGCTGGTTAATTAACACGTGTATAGTTTGTTTTGCAGTGCAGTGTTGGTTTCGTTTAATGTATTTTCTATTTATTTTTGTGATTAACAGTGAATATAGTTGACAGCAACAAGTGGACAGGTAAAGACATAATTACATTCCTAGATATATTTCGAAATTATCCTTGCCTGTGGAACCCTTCGACTGCAGACTACATCAACAGAAATGCCAAAGCTCAGCTTACAAGGAGTTACTGGAAAAACTTGAAGAACAAGGACTTAAAGCAGTTTGACTTGGATAAAAATGAGCGTCTTTGACATATATTGGTAATTTTTATAAGCACACTTTGTCGATGTCACAATTCTACTATGTCGTACTATTTTTATTCAAAAACTGGGAACATCTTTAACATGTTACCAGGGGGTGATATCAGTGGTATCGAAGAATCGCCGATACTAGATACTTCGCTTCATTGTACTCTATACCGATTCTGAAAAGTGAGGTTAATTATGATGATAAACTCAACTGACATTGAAGGTTGTAAAGAGTGGCACATCATAGTTTATTTGGAATACTCTGAAGTCAGCTAATATAAATAATTCCAAGTTCATTATCCCACATTCGTAATAGTTTTATAATCCAAAATAGCTTGCCTTTGCATTTCACAACGAGTAGCAATGACGGAATGACAACTTTTGTTCAATTGACAACACGACATTAGTGACAACTAACAGAACGAACAATCAAACTCTAGTTGCCGCCATGTTGTCAGATCAAAGGCAATGTTGCCGGATGGTACAAGCATTATATATATACGTATAATAAACATAAGGTGTATATTTTTATAGTCAATGGTACTAGTTTAACTCGCGTTTTCTAACTCAAAATTGTGGCATAGCTTATAATTTTTTGTTAAAGTGTGGCATAGCTTATAACTAGGGGTCTGCGGTGCAGAAAATTTAAGGTCGGTACGGTTCGGTACGGTACAATATTTTGTACCTTGGTTCTCGGTACAAAATCGGTACAGTACGCGGCTACCCGTATTTTTGCGGTTTTCTTCTCAGAACTGTATTTAAACCATTATTTTTTAACTTTAATACATTGACATTACTAAGAAAATGGAGAGTATCCTACATTCATGGTTTTCAAACAATTACTGTACCACACATTATTAAAACAAAACCTTTTACTACTACAAGGATTGTGTCAAGAAAAATCACAGTTAAAGGCTTTACCTATTTTACTCTGAGATACTTTGAATAGCCATGATAAAGTGGTTTAAAAATAGGATAAGAGTTTTTATGAACAAACCTGTTTGAAACATTTATTGACAAGATAATTTCACAAAACTGGTAAATTATTTCCAACCTACACAATGTCTAGTTGTTTTTTAATTTTTAAAAACATATAATAGCATTCAGTAAGAAGACAGTGTAGTTTTGCCAGCTGTTCACAACAGACTACAATGAAAAACTGGAGGTTTAAGTTCTTCCAAAGAATCAAAAGACCCAGGCCTAGACCTAATTATTTAGGAGGGCCTATATATAAATTGATTAGGTTATAATGAGGGTAGCAAAATCACTATCTAGTTCATAAGATTTAGATTGCATAAAGTACCTTCAACACAATAAAAGATACAGGAAACTAAAAAACATTTAAGCCTTAAACAGCCACATCTAACAATATAAGACAAGATACAGAACATGCAATGACATATTTTGAGACTGAGTAGGCTTGCATAACGAAAAAACAAATTGCAAACAACAACAACTATGCTTGTGGTTTTGTCAATAGAAAGATAAAATATATATGACAAATATTTTAACTTATAATATAAAATAAGATTGTAGAGTAGTTACAAATTTAATATGTAGCGATAAACAGTTTTATGGCAGTAGGCAATGGCCACTGACTGAGTTAGAGATAACATTTAACAGTCATCATAAAACTATTATTTTTATGATAAAACAGAATTGGGGAAAGTCGTAAAGAAATAAAAGTGATAACACTCAATAGTTCTTGGAAGTACTTGAATACAACAATTATTGTCATGATAAAATGGGATTTGGGACTGCTAATGGGTTTTTTATTGCATCATCAACCTAGTAATAAATTATGAAGATCGTAAACAAACATCTGATATGACTTTTATGTGCTCGGAACCAACTGCCGACTACGATAGTAAACTGAAAGTAATTTATTATTATAATAGGCTGTACCGAACCGAATTTGTACCGTGTAAAATGCTGTACCGAACCGATAACGGTAATTAAGCTTGTACCGTACCGTATTATAAGCTATGGAAAAAATTTACGATTATAAGCTATGACATTATAAGATATGAGACTCCACAAACTGTTCAGCTAATTCAGGGCTTTATAATGACTATTGTAGAAAGCCATTTAGCGATGTATTTTTAACGTTATTTTATGTTGTTTCTCTCTGACTGAACTGAAACAGCTGTCGTGAGTTTGCAAAAATGGCAAATTAATTGTTTAACCTATGTTTTGGTTTTTATGTTGTTTGTTTGATGTGCGTGCATAGTGAGTTCAAAATGGATAATGATCTCCGACTCCGATCTAGTGATGAACTCCATGACTTTTATGTGATTCTTTAAGTAATTTAAGTGATATTGATGATGACAATATTAAAGAAGAATTTGATATTGACTTTGAGTTTATAACTCAAGCAATATGGAACATTCATTGTAGGCCTAGATGTATGAATTCTTATGCAAACAAAAAACTCTGTGAACATTTTAGGCCTATCTAAACCGGTGATTGTTGTCTCAATTTAATTTAATAAAATATGTTAAAATTCATGTCTTCTTGAAATAGCCTATCTTATCTTCCTTATTGGCTAACCTAATCCATGTACCTTAATCAATACAATGCAGATATCTTACTGAATAAAGATTAAATAAATTTATATCATAAGTTCATAAGTTATACAGTTGAACCTCGTTTGTACGAACCTCGATAAAACAAATTCCTCGATAAGACGAATTTTTTTAAATCCCCTTGACACTTTCATATAGGTCAATGCTAAAAACACCTCTATACAACGTAGTAATTAAGTTAAAAACCTCCATAAGACGAATTTGTTTGTGACATGGGCTAGGACTGATTAACCTCTATACAACGAATATTCTTAGCACAAAACCTCTACAAGACGAACGTGACCTCTATAAGACAAATTTATCATAATCTTAACCTCCATAGTATGTAGTTTTCAAAACAAACAGAAGCTTGTCTCAACATGAAACCCCCACTCATCCCTCCTCCTTCCTCAGTCATTGTTTGGAGAAACCTTGGAGCGAGGAGAAACCTCTATAAGAAAAATAACAGCAGCATTAAACCTCGATAAAACGACCCTCTTTATTAAGAATACCTCTATAGTACGAATTTTTCCCGTACCCCTTGAAATTCGTCTTATAGAGGTTCAACTGTATGTGTTATTAAATGAATTTTTAACAGGTATCGGTATAGAGTGCGGAATCGAGAATCAAAACCAAAGTTGTAGAATTGGAATCAGTATCGGCATCGGCCAATTCAGTCATCACTAATTATAACACTTTTACTTTTTGTAAGTTACTGACAAATACCAGCTGTTTCGTTAGCCAGGAGCATTTATTGAAAACCTCAAGATCAAGATCTTTGTCCAGTTTTGAACCATCAAAAAGCTACCTGACTCCTTTCTTGATCCAGCTGTTGAATATTCTATAATGAACGTTGAATTTCCCTGTACTAATCCATTTGGATACATCTAAATGAGTTGATCAAATGTTTTACCTGGATCCATAGAGTTCCATGTCCTCATCTGCTCAGCGGCTATTTCCAGTGCAGAGGGTTCTTGAGCTCGTCCTAATGTCTTCCTGTCTTTCCAGTTAAACTCTTTGATCTTTAACAGAAACATTGGAGGTTCAAAGAGTGACTTAACTTCAGACTAAAATACTGGAGTGCAAAACTAAAAGAAGTTCGCAAAGGATGGTGTAACCATTTATTGATTAGTTGATTTTTAAAGAGCGGGGATCTTGATTTACAGTGTAAACAATTGTTATCGTAAGTTATTTGATTTGGTTGTTTAAGTCTAAAAATCAATTATTATTGAGTACCCAATGACTGGTTGTATTTTTAATGAACTTTAATTATTTTTGTAACATGTTGACTATGGATAATTCTATACCATTGAGACTTCTAAAATGCAGGTTTACTGAGCCCAGCCAAAAAATAGCTGTTGTTGCTTAAATAATAGGATTGCCAATAGAGCAGAGGTAAAAGACCTATAACTAGATGTCAGGCCAGGGAGTGAGCTGGTCTATTGGTAGAGTGCAAGGCTTCTGTCCCTCAAGTCCCAGGTTCAAATCACACCAACCATCAATGGTTTTTAGCTATGAGATGATGCCACAACCCTAAAGGCAAAGTCTAAAACGGTTCCAGGCAAAAGCGTAGCATCATAAGATGGACATAGAAACATTAGGCAACACAATTTTCAAGTGTTCTTTACTGGTTTAATGGTTTATAATATCAATTATAGGGTATCTTGACTTTATCTGAATACCAGCAACCTCAGTGGAAGGCTTATATCAATGGAAGTGCCGCTTTATTCAAAGGGCTGCAATATTCCATAATGATTATTTTGTAAGTTTTACCTCTCTAGGGCTAACGGAAAGATGAGAACTCTCATTGCTGTTCAGATACAAAGCCTTGATATCTCTCTGAACGTCCTGGTAGAAAGATGCCTCCCAGAACTGTTGGTTCCTCCATACAGCGTGTTCCTATAACAAATAAATGAATATTTTGTCTTGAATGAATTCTTTGTACATGAATAAATAAGTTAGTAAATTACTTTACAGAGTGTTTACACACCGGTTATTCTAATTTAACCTCGAAATAAAAAATCATGAATCTCATGTGGCCGAACTGAATATTTGTTTTATCGAGGAATTTGTTAAAACGAGGTTTGTTAAACTAAGGTTAGGTTTGCAGGAATTTCGCTAAGTCAAGGTTCACATAAGAGCATCGGTCAATATTGGTAAGAAAATGTTGAGGGTTTGTTATATCGCAAACCGTAATCTCAAAACAAGAATACAGCTTTCTAACAATTTTTAACTAACGTATAATGTACCTAATGAATAAACAGAGTCCAAATTCAACCTGAAGTATTAGAGCCTTCCCTAAATGAAGTAGAGGAACCTTTTACTAAAACTGCCCAAACAGTTTCGGGATTTGTAGGCATTTAAAATTTTTTTTGCAATTTATCAGTATAGAGTCTAGAAACATGTGTGAACCCCAAAGAAACATTTTGTTTGAATAAACAGTTTGTCAGCCTACCATTCCTGAAGGCTATGGCTGCTGGAACTGTTGACTCTAATTCGACAGTAAAACACAGTTTGTATGGGGATATACAGATTTTTTTCTGGACATGTATTCTTGTTTTAGAAGTTTATATGAGTAGTATGTTCAATCCGAGACAAATCACCACTAGCCATACCATGATTGAAATGCAATTCAACTGATTGCAAAGAGCGCAATCTAACACAATCCACACAATGACTTTAGCTACTCTCCTCTCAACATAACCAAACAATACGACACGGTTCTCACAAAACGTAGACTTCAGATGGTATCAAGACCATTCCCTTAAAACAAACGTAAATAAATGTAAAGAGATAAAAATGAAAAACCCTTAAATATAACAAGACCTGTATGCAGGTGTAAGCAAACTGGATAACTCCCGTGCAGAGTTTACGACAGAAGGCATTGGCTAAGGGCAGCAGAGCGGCTGCGACCCCAAACTCATCCATGGACGACCCATCCTGTGAACACATAATGTTTTTATGAAAATGTTTAAAAGAAACAATCACAAAAATTCCCTCATTAGAAAATCAGTTTGGTTCGGACAGTTACCAAATTATGACAAGTATTTACACATATGCAATACTTTGTCTTTCAGCGAGGTAAAACAGCAAGTCAGAACATCTTGTTCGTCTAATGCAGAACAGATTTTATCGCTGTAATGTATTCCTTTATTGTCCAGTATAGTTAAATTTTGTGGTTTTTAAATGCACATAGGCCCATTTGTTTTTTACAATTTCAATTAACTTACTCATTGAGAAGTTTTGTTTAAGGAAAGGCTCTAGGCCAGGATTTTAAATTGTAGAAAAAGGAGGATAGCAGCTAGCTTACCTTGAAAGTGTGGGTAGGCCATAGAACTAGTAGAAAAACACTGTGCACACAATATTTCGTCCCCTAATGGACTTTGTCAAGTGTAGAGAAAGAGTTTATAAATTACAAAATGGCTGCTGTCATGGCTGTTGTCAACTATGCAGAGTTGCCACATCTCATTAGTCTATTTACAACTATGTACACAACTTTATATACACACACACATATAATATTTTATATACAAAATAGGCCTATTATGTATTTAGCTAGCTGCTGGGACAAGTTTATCTTAGGTTAAGGTTGGGGGGAGTTCTGGAGTTGGTTATATACTGGAATGCCAGTTCCCACCTTCTTAACATGGAAGGGTTGCATTCATCATTTGGAAGTGATTTTATTACTTTAGTTGTGAAGCAACTATCAAAGTCCATGTTGTGATTGTTGGCATGGATGGCCACAGGTTTTTCTTTACCCGTTTTTACATCTTGGCGTTGGCCATTCATTCTTTTCTGAGGGTGTTTTTAGTCATGCCTATATATTGGGCCTGACATTGTTGGCATTCCAGTTATTATATTAGGTTTTCTGTAGTGCAGGTGTGGTGTCCTTACTCATTGAGAAGTATACATTACACAGCATTTTAATAGTTTCAAATATTATAATTATTATTATAAATTAAAACATATAGTAACTCCCTTTATTTATAGATATGTTTTTTGCGAATTTCCCTATAGGTAATAAGCTATTACCGTAGGTTTCATGGTAAGACTTAGTCCAGGGACCGATTTACTTTTTCATTTTGATGTCCCTAGAAGCCAAAAACACCATCCGTTCAAATTCATATATATATATTTATTTTTTATTTATTTATTTTCCAATAATCACATAAATGACAATTCTTTATTGCACATAACATCTTTGAAAGTTACTAACATATTCTTAGCCTACACATTCTGACATAGCCTACATATTCTTAACATCATATTCAGACAGGTGATTCGTCATTGTTACAATAATTTATAGTCTCTATACTAAAACTATTACTAAAATAAATTTCATATGCTGAGCCTTAACATCTACACAGCTTCCTCAATCCGGAGATTCCTCCAATGAGAAGGCCTTCTCCAAAAGAAAGTTTTTTAACTTCTTTTAGCGAATTTCCCTATAGGGAATAAGCTATTACCGTAGGTCTCATGGTAAGACTTAGTCCCGGGACCGATTTACTTTTTCATTTTGATGTCTCTAGAAGCCAAAAACACCATCCGTTTAAATTCATATATATATATATATATGTGTCCGTTAGCACGATAACTCGAGCAAAAATGTTCCGATTTTGATGAAATTTGGTACAATTGTGTAAACCTACGTTTATTTGAACGAGTTCGCGAACCAGCATGATCGGACCATGGGAACGGGGTTTTATGGGGGGATTTATGGGGTAAAAATAGGTTTTTCTAATTTTTGACCCTCAAGACATAAAATGTCCCAAATTTCTTCTAGACCATTTTGAAGAGCTAAAGAAAACCAATAATTCAGTATATTGAAGTGTTTTTGTATGGTTATTGGTTACGGAGAAAATTATAAATTAAAAATTCCCATGTTATTCTTATGGAGAATAAGTAAACTGTTGTAGTTTGCTTGTTTATGCATATATTTTAGTGATGGTCGGATCCGGATATCAGACTACCGGATCCGCCGGATCCGAGCTACAACCAGCACCCGATCGGATCTAAAAAATTCCGGATCTTGGGCTGGATCCGGTTTTGATGGATCCGATTTTTTCAGATTTTTCCCCGATTTTTTCCTAACACAAAGCTGTCTGTATCACTGTACAACCCCAATTTTTAAACCAACACAAAGCTGTCTGTATCACTGTACAACACCAATTTTTTTACTAACACAAAGCTGTCCGTATCACTGTACAACACCGATTTTTTACTAACACAAAAAGCTGTCTGTATCACTGTACAACCCCAATTTTTTACCAACACAAAGCTGTCTGTATCCCTGTACAACCCCGATTTTTTACTAAGACAAAAAGCGGTCTGTATGACTGTACAACACCGATTTTTTTACTAACACAAAGCTGTCTGTATCACTGTACAACCCCGATTTTTTACTAACACAAAAAGCTGTTTGTCTCACTCTACAACCCCGATTTCTTTACCAACACAAAGCTGTCTGTATCACTGTACAACACCGATTTTTTTACTAACACAAAGCTGTCTGTATCACTCTACAACCCCGAATGTTTTTACTAGCACAAAGCTGTCTGTATCACTGTACAACGCCGATTTGTTTACTAAACACAAAGCTGTCTGTATCACTGTACAACACCGATTTTTTTACTAACACAAAGCTGTCTGTATCACTGTACAACCCCGATTTTTTACTAACACAAAAAGCTGTCTGTATCACTGTACAACCCCGATTTTTTACCAACACAAAGCTGTCTGTATCACTGTACAACACCGATTTTTTTACTAACACAAAGCTGTCTGTATCACTGTACAACACCGATTTTTTTACTAACACAAAGCTGTCTGTATCACTGTACAACCCCGATTTTTTACTATCACAAAAAGCTGTCTGTATCACTGTACAACACCGATTTTTTACTAAGGCAAAAAAGCTGTCTGTATCACTATGCAACCCCGAGTTTTTACCAACACAAAGCTGTCTGTATCACTGTACAACACCGATTTTTTTACTAACACAAAGCTGTCTGTATCACTGTACAACACCGATTTTTTTACTAACACAAAGCTGTCTGTATCACTGTACAACCCCGATTTTTTACTATCACAAAAAGCTGTCTGTATCACTGTACAACACCGATTTTTTACTAAGGCAAAAAAGCTGTCTGTATCACTGTGCAACCCCGAGTTTTTACCAACACAAAGCTGCCTGTATCACTGTACAACCCCGAATGATTTTACTAGCACAAAGCTGTCTGTATCACTGTACAACCCCGATTTGTTTACTAACACAAAGCTGTCTGTATCACTGTACAACCCCGATTTGTTTACTAGCACAAAGCTGTCTGTATCACTCTACAACACCGATTTTTTACTAACACAAAAAGCTGTATGTATCACTCTACAACCCCGATTTTTTACCAACACAAATCTGTCTGTATCACTGTACAACCCCGATTTTTTCCTGATTTTTTTTTAACTCTTATTGAACAGCTACCCAGCTCATAGCATAAAGTAGAATAAGTTTAAAGATTCGGGGTTGCTATAAAGCTACGCTCCCATGTGCGTATGCAGGATAACCTATGAAGAGTGAGGAGGTTTTCTGCATATCACAAGTGGTGTAGGCGCCGGAATTTAGTAAACTTTTACAAAATTTTCGATTCTGGTACCTCATTTAAATTGGCTCTCAAATATTTTGTTTGTAAATCAATTTTTGTTTGTGATACAAAGCGAGTTGGGTTGCTGTTAGGACATGCTAGGTTTGTGCTAGCTCGGCATAGTTAGCAGTATTGCTACATAGATTCTGTTGTACTTTGTTCAGTAGGGATTAAGCAATCCAGTCTAATTGTGTCTAGTAAGGTATACAGTGAGGCAATATATTCGATCAAAGCATTCTCTTAACCTAGTTTAGAAGTTTAGAGTTACAGTTACAATAGAAAATGAATTGTTTATTTTACGAAGAGAATGGATGTGGGTCTAAGTTTAACTGACATAAAAAATTTAAACAAGGAGCAAGCGAAAGAATTGTTTCATAAATTAGAATTACCTATACCTAAGGGAGCTGACTTAGAGTGTTTACGATCTAGTCTAAGGTTAATGAAATTAGATGATAAGCATAAGCAAGAAGGTGTAGGTATCATTTTATGAGGATATAAGTAAGTGGAATAGGAGAGTTAGTTTTATTCAAGAACAGCTTTCAAATTAAAATTAAAATAGGGAAGTTGTTTACGAAAACCAGAGCAAGGACAAGTACGAGAACGAGGTTGAGAACGTTTACGAAGAAATCAACGACTTCAGTTCAACTTCGGGTTCTGTTGGTTTTCCAAACATGGCCGTAAATAATGAAAAACAGCCTTACTTTCTGATGGATATTACTGTCCAACATCATATGATTATAATTAATATTGCTTAATGTATGAAATCACATGTTAAAAACACTTTATTTACAATGGATTGTTTTGTTTAGGTTTTGTATTAAAATAGACTTTATGATTCTGCTTTATTCTGAATTTACTAATTTCTTACATATTTAACAATGGCGACGAGGATAATAGAAACAATTGAACAAATAAAAGAGAAGAATGAGAGGATAATCAAGTACAAAAACCTCAGAAGATCCTTGAAAGCTCAGCTTACAAATATCACAAAACTTTTGAAAGAGCACAAAGTGTCTACAGATGCTTCAGTTAGACTACATCATTTAAATGAATTGCACACGAAATTTGGTATAATACAGGACCACATTGAATTAATGATTAATGAAGATGATATTGAAGATGAACTCGCTTACAGACAAGAATTTGAAAATACCACAATTGATACCAAGGTAATGTTACAAAACCTAATTGATACATCAGGTGTCGATTGTTCAAATGATCAGATTCAGCATGCTGCTACAACAAATGTGACAACCTCAAATCTAAACTTTGTGCCATACGATGAAAGGGAAAGTTTCCGAA